ATAAATGTAAGTTATAAATAATTCAAAACCTACAAATAATTTTTATGACATATTATATAATATAAATTAAAACAATTAATGTACAGGTGGATAGGATTCATCTGAAACAAGGTTATTTTGGACTTTCCGGGTCTTATGCTGAAGATATAGCTGTTGTTGTGTTACAAAACAGTATTTCTTTTAATAATGTTATTAAACCTATTTGTGTCGATTGGGATGGTAACTTTAATGTATCCAATGGAGATGAAGGAAAGGTTGGTTTGTAGTATTATTTAAATTGTGATTTAATTAAAGTGAATTACTGTGCCTACCTATAATATTATCGTCCGTTGTCCATTTGTATATATAGAGAAAATACCGTGAGATTCTCTGCTAAAGTTTCCATAAATATTGGCATGTTACAATGCATAAATAAAAAGTGGCAAGTGAATACCACTCTGCTGTGAAAGTTAAAGTCTGTCATTGTAATGGATGGTGTTATAATTAAACATTAAACTCAATGATGTAATATTATTGTATACGAAAAATGATTCTGAGAGCCAGCCTATTTTATAATAACACATTTAAGCTACAAAAAAATAACTAAGATCGTTAATCTTTCATTAAATATCTAATTTCATCCAAAATTGAACTTAATGTGGATAAAAAGATTTTTGGCGACAGTATGAACTATATGTGATATAACTTGTTTTAAATTGTTTTAAATTGTCACAATCCTTATTCATTAGCTATAAAAACTAAAAATTTTAAGAGTTAGGTAGAAATTACTAACTAATTTTAAAAAGTTGAATATTTTGACGTACCTATATAAGTATTATGTCAAATTTTCAAATTTAAATGCTTAAGTATAAAACAAAATCAAGTCTGTAAATCTTTATTCTTAACTGTATATTTATTAAAATTTATGCGTACCTTGTATTACCTTTTTAAAATTGTATATATAAAAAAAAAATTGTTTACATTTATAGACAAAATACTCAAGAGCTCAAAACGAGTCAAACTGTCATTAAAAGTACCTATCCACAATTAATAATTTTTGAATTAGAACAAAATACTAAAATCAATAATAAATACGATCAATCAGAATTCATTAACTTACGGCTGAAAATCAATTACCTAAAAAAACTCCAAAAGTCCAAATGCTCATACAAAATTAGTTTGTCTACCCAAGAAACTTTTTTTTAGATAAAATAGGCATATATATATATATACTACATTTTAAGATCTTAGATAGATATAAATTTACAAATGTTTATTAATTTTTAACCAAAAGTAAATTGTAAATTTATATTATTTTGATAAATTTTAACAAAATTATAATTTCAGATATTCATAAAAAAACTATTGTAGATTTACTGTTAACTTTTTTTTAGTTTTCATTAAAAACTTCTTATGAGGAACCTTGTATTTTCAAGTATTTTGACACAGTGATTTATTGACATTAATTTAAAAAAAACTAATAAAAATGTTCATGTTCTTAATATTCTTATAAATAGTTAAAATAGAAAAAATATATAGACATCGGTAATATAAACATGCAGTGGAAAGTTAAAGTATCTACGGTTTTACTTATTAGTATATTAGTTAGATAAAAATAACTTTGTGGCTGATGGTGGTGCGGTGTCTACAATCAATTACAACACATGGTTGAAAGTAAGTAATGTCCGCTGCTACTAGGGTGCGTAGTGGCAAATACCTTGTCACACATACACTTACTTTAACTAATCGTACCAACAATCTCACTTATACGGTACTAACCCTACCAACCTTAAACAATAATTTTTGTTTTTCACAACGCATTTGAAAACTGATGTGAATTTTCCAAATTGTCCTCTTAAAAATACCAACGAGATTGACTTTTCCATCAGGATAGATGGCTGAAGGTTGAACATCGAAGCATTAGTTCATCTAGAAAACAAAAATGTATAAACAGTATAAAAACACCCACATCATAGTAAAATCAATACACCCATCGCTCTGCTAAGTAGGTATCCAAAATTTTAAAACACAAATTGTGAAACTACTAAACATTATTCTTATTTTATATTTGATCGACTACGATGGGATTCTGTGAGTTTCCGGTTCCCAATACTCGAAAGGTTACCGTTCTAAAACCGGTTCTTTTCACTAAGTTTCCAGTCCCTGTTTCCGAAAACACCTAATAATAGGCATGACCTTATCTCAGATTTTATGAGACCAGGCCACTAGGGAAACCGCCAACCACTATCTAGTTGTCTAATCTATCTATATATATACTGGGTGATTCTTTTATCAAACAACACTCATTATTTCAAAAAGTGTAAATTTTTTTGAAAATATTTTTTTACATAGTTTCAAATCGCTTATAAAACAACGTTTTTATAAAAAAATTATATTTTTTATCCTTAAATTTTTTTATGTTTTTTACTTTTTTAAATGACAAAATAGGGTTTTAATTTTATATTCTAAAGTAGAATATTTTTCTTAGTATTTTGATACATTAAAATCGAATTTGAGGCGAGTAGTTTACGAGTTATAAGTATTTAAAGTTTAGACGAGCGGAGTGGAGTGGTTCGGGGTTACCCCGCGAAATGTTTGTCCACTTCACCGCTCATCAAACTTTGAATATTTATAACTCATAAACTACTCAACCCAAATTCGATTTTCATGTATCAAAATACTAAGAAAAATATTCTGCTTTGGAATATAAAATTAAAACCCTATGTTGTTATTCAAAAAAGTAAAAAACTTAAAAAATTATAAGGATAAAAAATATTTAAAAATATAATTTTTTAATAAAAACGTTTTTTTATAAGCGACTTGAAACTATGTAAAAAAAATATTTTAAAAAAAATTTACACTTTTTGAAATAATGAGTGTTGTTTGATAAAAGAATCACCCAGTATATATATAAATAGCTGATCCCTTTTACTTCGTTGCCCATTAAAAATGCGAACTCTATATGAATAATATATTTTTCATATTACCATGGCTACCATTTATATACAAAAAATTCCATCGGAAATCTCAAAATAATATATGAATGTTTGCCATGGTAATAATATGGACTCACAGACAGACATACAGACAGACATACAGATTCATATTATACATTCATTATATTACCATGGTCATATATTCATAAGTGATATATTATAATAACTAATAAGTATTTGTGATTATAAATTAAAATTCATAAGTCGTTTTTTGTTGCGTTATTCGATATTAATTTTAATCGTTTATCGTTACTGTTCCGTTATCCGTTATCCATTTCAATCGTTTATCGTTTACCGATATGTTATCCGTTATTCGTTTCAATCGTTTGTCGTTTACCGATATGTTGTCCGTTATCGATTTCAATCGTTTTTTGAATCGTTTAACGTTATACTCGTAACGTTATGAAAACGTTTTGAAGCCCTGCAGTTAACACATTATCACTAAATGGTTTCACATACGCATCTAGTTTCGGTAGTGCATTGTTTCTTTCAAAATGAAAAAAAGTTTTGGTTTTTGTATACACCAGGTAAATTCTCTTTCAAAACTATTATTGTATGAGATTTAGAATCAATTTTTACAACTCTGGTTATATGTATTATGTTGTTATTGTTATGTGATATTCTGAAAATTATATTTCTAAGACTAATATATTTCCAAGCACAGTGTGGTCCCATTTGAGTGATAGTTTATGCGAAACAAAAAATTATTGAAAATCATTCCATCCCCATTTCAACCAACAGTTATATAAATCGTATTCTTATATTAATATATTTAAAACAATATTTGATTTTAAGTGTTCAAATTTCAAACTAACATAGATACGAATAAACTGTCTAAAATAAATATTCAATATCCAAAAAAAGAAAGAAAAACAGATTAATTAAAACATCAACTCCAATATTGAAAACAGTATATAATAGTTATGTTAATAAAAGCTACTTTATAATGGTGTATCATCACCCACTAAAAATATTTTTTTCAAAGCCAACAAATTATTGGTCGAAAGAAGACGTTTTGACGAGAGTGCCGGAAATGACAGTGGTGTATAGCACTTATACACTGAGCGTGGTTTTCTACAGCAGAATAAAACGATATAAAGAAGAGAGAAAATTACTTTCTCTTAATAGACTGAAAAATTGGAATAAATTCCGGATACCATGTTATACTATTAAACAATAAAAAAATCGACGACACGATCACATTAGCAAATGGGTAACCTGTGGATATTCAATATTCATTATTTAGAGGTAATACCTCACTCAAAGTGAGTACCGTTCAACCTCGGTGGTGATTGTTTTTGATTTAATGGAACCGAGTAACTTGCATTATAGAACAAATACATATTGTAGGTAATCTCTTATAATATATACAATTATCCTGTCACCGTGTTTGTAATGGAGCTCCTTCGAAACGGCTAGACCGATTTTCATGAATTGTTTTGTGTATATTTGGTAGATCTAAGAATATATTCTAGGCTATTTGTTAAACAACTAGGTATTAAGAAAGGCCCACACCAAATGAATCCCTATTATACATCAGTGACGCTATCGGTCAAGAAAAGAAACTAAATATGAAATAATATATTTTTGTTTATTGTAAGGTTGCCTATTGGTTATTCTTATGATTGAATATAATATTTTTGGTCAAAACCATAGAAATTATTAAAAGTTATATTTCTGATGCTAATTTACATGCGTGCACATTATAAACAAAGGTGGGTAAAATAATAATATAATATAAATATTATTATTGAATTATTAGTATCTTGTTTTTCATAATTAAGTACTTCAATTTATTATATTTGTGTGTGTGATCTACAGCGAACAATGTCAGCAAGGGGCCAATTTGAATCTACAAACAAATTATCCCAAAGAACAGACGAACAAATCCAATCCGATAGTATGAATGTTCGTGTGAATATTGCACAATTGCGTGAATCTCGATCACAAGAGGCATGAGTTGAACGCAATGAACAATTACAATTGGAGCAAAGACAAGCGCAACTGTCACAACTGGTTGTGAAAATGGACAGAGCAAATGACCAACAACGCCAACAAGTGTATCGAGCATTTACATCTGATTCGTTCCTTCGTCTGGCATTAAACTATGAGCCAGGTATTGAATATTGCTCTCATTCGAAAGTGACGATTGGTGTTATAGACAAGGAAAGTCCCCATTGCCATGTGCTTAAATTAAAAAATAAGCCAGTCGGGATGTGTTGCGCGTCAAGAAAAGTGCAACTATAAAAGTAATTTTATTGAAACACCACCTGAACCATTGAAAGGATTACTTATCGGCACGGATCCAGATTCAAACCTTTTCCTGAAGTCCATTCGCAGATTTTATTCATGTTTTCAAATGACATCGTTCGAAATTTTCATTTCACATTTATATAGTTAGAAGATATATATATATATATATATATGGTTACCATTGGTTGCAGTCTGTAGATTATAATAGTAATGGTAGAAATTAGTATTATTTTCTTTTATATGTAAATGGTTGGCATTGGTTACTCGGGCAGATCAGACATACAATCATGCATGAAATTCTTGCGCTTATGGCCTCGAATAAAGAAACTATATTAAATCAAACCCAAATGTAAGTGTACAGCTTATATACTTAACAACTACTTAATTTAATTTTATGAAAATCTAAGAGATTGTTTTTAGATATTATGTCAGAAAAGTTTAGATGGTAAGTAGTTTAAACCACGTTAAAAATATAGGTGTATCTCGGTTTTAGTGTACCTCACTTCACGTATAAATCGGTGTCAGTGTAGTAATGTACTTAGCTGTGTTTTTAATTCGATCTACATTGGCAACCTCAAGTCGCGTATGAGATATATTCAAACTGAGTGCACATATATATAGCGTAAAGACTATAAAGGATTTGCCACAAAAATAACTGTACACAGGCGAATGAATGACACAGGCACACTGTTCACTGTTCAGTAAACTATAAAACACAGCTATTGTTTTTTTTTTTTTTTTTTTTAGCCTTTAGTCATTGTTATTTCTATTAAAATTAAAACTTTAATTAGGTGTGTAGGTATTAGTTTTGTCAGATTAAAATAGATATTTTATTATTAAAATGAAAAAAACAATTATTTTTTTTTGGAATTATTATGAATTTTGACTTAAAAAGTATTGGTTATCAAAAACTAAAATTTTTAATCTTATAACTGAAAGCTTTCACTAATAATTAGATAAGATTATCATAAAAAAAATCAGCGTTTCCAATATCTGATTAAAGCATGCGAATCGTATTTTGCCAATGCCGTATGCATAATCAATTTATGTGTCACATAAGACACTGTCACATTGAAACCGGGCCGGATAGGTATGTCTTATGTAGCTACCTACTAGGCATAGGTCCATCGAGATTTTCACTTCTAAGGGGTCCATTTACATAATATTCACTGGCTCAAAATTATGTCTAAAATAGTTACGCGTTTGTAGGTGGCTAATCGAATTTTAAAAGTGCATTTATTTTTACCCATATACTCACATGACCAGCACAAAGTTTATGTGGCCCGCCGAGATTTTCTGGGTACCTTACCTAACCAATTCGGCTCTGTGTTAAACTAGGTCTTAAGCGACACATAAACCGACTATGCATATAGACATAGGTAACATCACTATTATTCTTAGAAATTCAAAATAATAATTGGCTCTAAAATCGATTTTAATTTAATTAATTACATTTTTTAACTGTTTTAAAAAATATGATAAACAAAACGGCTATCTTGGAAATTAAAAAACATAATTATCCAAAAAAAATTTTTAGTAATTTTTGGAATTTTGAAAAAAAAATTGAAACTTATGCTATTCAATCAGAATTTTCATACTTGTAACTGTAAAAAAACCGCATTTAAATGTATTGATTTTCCATGGAGATACTAAAGGTGATACTGGACTTTTGGGACATACTGTATAATGTATATATATACCTAGTTGAGTTATAATTTATTATTATTTTATACGCTGCGGGAGCGAATAACCTTTCAGCCTTACACATGTGATAAGTGTATCCAAACAAAATATGTAAGTGATTATGTATTGGATATTATTATTTCCATAGTTTATGATTTCCGAGCTGAGGTCAAGTTCCGATAGGGTCTGGTCCATTAAAATCCGTTCATTAATAGCATGCATAATTTAATAAATTATCGATATTAATGACGTGGGAGCGTTCAATTAGAACCAAATGTGTCGGTTAGGTAAGGTCTATTAAAATCTCTATAATATAACACCTATGTTATAAACAACTGTTGAAAGATGGTAGGTACCATATTTTTGATTAAACATTTTACTTTTGAATAAAATGTTAATTAATTTTACGTAAGAAATAAGAATCAGAATTTTGATAGTTTTTTTTTTTTTTTACAGATGTTCATTACCTATTACATATTAACTTTTTTCTAACTGACTATACGTTCATCTTGTTTATGGACTTGCAATGATCAGTATAATTTAATGTGACGTTTCTCATATAAATTAAACTGATTTTAGATTCTGAGTGGGGGGGGGGGCATTAATTATGTAAGCATTAGTTTTACAACGATGTGTGTTTTTTAAATTATATTTTTGTGCTTGAATGGACATTTTATCTTATAGGAATCCGAGTAAGGTAACCCTGGTGGAAAATTGTATCTAATTTGTATTTTGGGACGTCAAAAGTCTACCCCGCAGCACTTTTTAAAATAAACAGAAAAAGCCAAATTAAGACATTTATTTTTAAATTTTAATATTATTAAAATAATTGTTTGGTAGATATCCATGGTTAACAGCCAGTATAGTAATTTATGTTTCCATTTTCCACCACAACATATTTTGGTTTTTAGATTTTGGTATCTCTATATTGTAAGAATTGATAACTTATATTTAGTGTTTGAAGTATGAGAAATATTTCACAAAAACGTGAAACATTGAAATTTTTTTTAACACAAATAAAAACACAATTTATTTATTTTTTTAACACAATGTTCAGTGTTCTAAATTCTAATGTCAGAATTCATTAAGTATACAATATACATGTATAATATTGTATACCTACTTGTATCATTTAAACATTAAAATATTTAAACATTTTGAATACCAATTTAAATGTATAATACCAGGTATACATACAGGTACCATATAGTGATGAAGGTAATTTATGACAATTATATGTAAATATAAAACTTATTTAAAAATAAAACAAAATATATTAAAATACTGAAATATTTCATTTTTTTAAATTTCATGAAATTTTCAAACACTACTTATATTAGACCACGTTGATAATATTTTCACGATCTGTGTCTTATTTTCATTAATATGAAAGAGAGAAAGACTACGTTAGCAATACATGTGACAATTAAGGTAAAGTGTTGCTATGGTTTAATTATTTTATCAAGATAGGTACCACTTGTATAACTTACAGACGTTTTCTATGTGAATAAAATTAAAATTAATTATTTATTTCGTAATGATATATTTTTTTTTGTAATAACCAATAGAGCGTAATAAGAAATAATATTATAAAATACCTACTATATATTTAATTAATTGTAATTATATTACTTGAATGTGTTCTTTTTAATATTTTTAATCTATGGTAAATTACCATTAATTATTTTAACTAGATTTGAAGTTATTTTTAAAATAATTTCCAATTATCAACTATACGTATATTTTATAATATAAGAGGCTATCAAAATCCAAATCAGAAAATGGATGTTCATAAACCATTATACTGGTGGTAAACAATAAATGGCAAATTCGGCAAAAAAGTGGAACACCTCCAAAAAGCGGACAGTCAGAATCATTTTTCTTCGTAGGTATGCAATGATTTATCATTAAATACAAATTTAACATAACCATTACACCGACCTACTGAATGGTGAGGTACACTCGACACCTACCGTGCAGTAGAGTGGTTAAATAATTTTTCGATTTTTTTTTTTAGCTGCGTATGTGTTGATTTATAGGATTTATAGGTACCTGTTTACCTAAATCGAGACTGGTGAATTGAAAAGGTACACTTTTGATGGAAACGGGTAACTTCCTATTGATTTTGGGATAATTAAGAGGTTTGTATTATGAGTTGATTCCCTTTTTATTGTATGTCAGTGGAAAATTAGTAAAAAGAAATATCTATTTAGTATTTATGAGGAAAATTATGCACAAGTATAACAAAAACCTCATTTTCCGATAGTGTACCAATTTTTGAAAACGACACATTTCAAAATAGACCATTATTCTATCAAAAACATTTTAATATCAAAAACAAAAATAATTAACCTACTTTTAAATATTTATGACAGCAAGGGAGTAAGTATTGTGAAAATGGTTCACTCCCATGTAAGCATATGGCGATACCACAACGGAAAAAAACCATATAATGAATTTTAACATGACAAATTTAATAATTAAAATAAAATGTTTGGAAATTTGTCCTCCAAACTTCCCCGTGGTGTCTCCAGGGTAACGCTAATAAGTTGAAGTTCGAGAATCCACTATATGTGTCTTGGGAACTATACGCCCCCCAAATTAACTCCGAAACCAATTAATACATACAGTGCCTGGAATCAATTGACCAAAACCGTATTTTTATCGATAATTATTTCTGTAAAATAAAATTAGGCAAAATGGAAAATGTCAAAGCTTTTAAATGTTATTTTTATAGTATATAGGTAAGAAGTGCCGACATTAAGTTGTATATTAAACATATTTTTTTTTCTTATAAACTACCTTAAGTCGTGTACTAGTCCAGTTCTGTGAACATCATAAACTTATTTGACGTGCATTGTTAGGTTATAACTTATAATGAATCGTTTTTAATGAACACGTTTATAGTAGGTATATTTATTGCAGTATAAATATTTCATACAAAATCATGTCTATTAAAACATTTTTACAAATAAAATGTTTCATGTAATTTAAATTCATTTGTTGGTTCGGTGAAAATAATCAATCAAAAATTATAATATAATATTTTAGTGCACTATCATGGTATACAAACTAATGAACGCTTATCAAAAATAATTGTTTTCATTCCGATATCGAATTTCTAAAGAACATTTAAAACAGAACACGATAGTTCGACAAAATAATATTTAACCTGTTAATTATTATTTTTATTTTCATAAGAGATATCCAATACCACTTTCTACTTTAATATTTATTTAATACTTATTTTACTGTAATTATATTTATAACAAAATAATAAAATATGTTTGTGATAGTACGAATAATATTTA